GCAGCCTCAGAATGGCAAAGGTGAAAGACTTTGCTTTGACAAAACAGTCCCAGTGCACCATATTCCAGAGTGGCAGGATTCAGACCCAGCACTGCAAAAGTAAAAACCTAATAGACAGATGATACATTAGACTGAAAGATAAATAGATAGGTAGCTAGATAAAAATAATTAAGTGGCTACTGATTTATTTAGTATGAAGAAAAAGATGGCCCACTGGGTCTTCTTATAAGACAGGAGACTCGGGTTATAAAACCGCAAGACATGACCTCACTTCCTCGGCAACAAGTCCAAACAGAACTTGGAACCCTTGCTAACCAGCATCACCATCTATTAACAGCTGTCTCCCAAGCTCACTTGGCTGGAGACAGTCATCAGTGAACATGCTGAGCTGCTTCCCCACTTTGTGAGGTCGCAGCCTTAGGACCCCACAGGCCACACTGCAGCAGCCACACAACCATCACTGACACCCTAGGGAAGGTCTCCCTGGAACTGCCCATCAGTGACCTAGAAAAAGCAAAGTACTCATGTGAAGTCTCCCTAAGCTCAAATACCAACCACACAGAAATTCAAAAGTACCCAGGGCAAGTTTTGAGAAGCCCAGAGATACCCAGTAGCCTCCCCAGAGCCAGCCACAAGATACCCAGGCCTCCCCAGAGCCAGCCACAAGAAATCTAGAACATCAAAGGAGTCACAGCCTCCATCCCCCAAGAGACACTGCGAAGCCTCGTGTACATCCATTCCAGGACCAGCCACCATTATTGGACATAACTTGTCAGGGAGCCTTGAAGAAGTCCAGCCAGTGTGGTTTGTGAAGGCAGTCAGGCCACATTCGCTCATGGAGCCCTTGGTGCAGACTTCTGTGCAACCAGTCCTTCTATGGTCCCTGCTTCCCAAGCACCTCCATGACCCACATCTCTACTCAACAGGTGCTGATGATGGGAAGAAATACCATGATAACACATTTTGAGACTTCCATCTTCTTTGGGGGCCTTGTGATGAAGTTTAAGTATGAAATTCTTTTGACAATGAACAGCTTTTCACCATGAAATCGGTAGATGAGGAAGGAGACCTGTGTACTGTATCACCTCAGGTGGGTAAGAAGACTTTGGGATTCCTGAGCTAAACTAGGGTTCTGAACTCTTAATTCATGCACCGCCTTATGTACCAGGACATCCTGAAAACCTCTGTCCAGGATAAGATAAGTCCATGTACCACAAAGGTACACAGCTCTTTGATTTATTGTGCAAATGGCCACACTCTTCAACACAAATGTTTCAGCAGGCATGCTCATTGTGCCATCTGCACAGACTAAACAGGGGGACTTGGACACCAGATGTACAAGTGTATGGACTGTGAACTCTTATCACAAACTTGTCACACCTGAATCTCAGCAGCGTTATGTGCAGAGCCCGTGATATCACCGGATCGAACATCTGTGCTTTCAAACCCTGCACAGACAGTAATTCCACGTAATCCTTCAAATCCTGAGGGTCTGGACCAAATTGGTGAAGAAAAGGAGGCAGTGAACCCCAGGGAAAGTGGCAAAGCTTCGTGCAGTTTAGGTCTTTGGAACTTTAATTTGCTCCAGGTAACAGGGAGAGGAAGTTATATGAAAGTACTATTGGTTTTATTTTTAAAAAGCAGGTCATAGTTATGCAATGAAAGTTGTGAAAAAAGAGCTTGTCAACATTGATCAGGTATAGACAGAGAAGCACGCTTTGGAGCAGGCATCGAATCATCCTTTTCTTGTTGGACTGCGTTCGTGCTCTCAGACAGCAGACTGGTTTTGTTCTAGACTATGTAAAGGGAGGAGATCTAATGTTTTGTATGCAGCAACGAGGAATACTTCCTGAGCCTCAGGCCAGGTTCTATGCTGCAGTAATCAGTTTAGCATTCAATTATCTTCACGAGCAAGGGATAGTTTTTAGAAATCTGAAACTAGACAGTTTCTTACTGAACACAGAAAGGCACATTAAACTCACTGATGATTGTATGTGTGAGGAAGGATTACAGCCAGGAGACATGACCAGCACTTTGTGAGATACTCCTAACTACCTTGCTCTAGAAATTACAAGAGGAGATTATGGTTTCAGTGTCAACTGGTAGACTCTCAGAGGATTAATGTTTGAGATGATGGTTGGAAAGTCTCCATTTCATACTGTTGAAAGCTCTGATAACCCTTATGAAAACTAAACCCTCTCTTGCAAGTTATTTTGGAAAGAAAAATTCACCTGGCATGTTCTCTCTCTGTCTGTAAAAGCTGCAAGTGTCCTGGAGAGTTTTCTCAACAAGGACGCGAAGGAATGAACGGCTTGTCATCCTCAAAGAGGACTTGCGGATATTCAGGAGCATCCCTTCTTTCAAAATGCTGACTGGGATACGATGGACCAAAAGCAGATGGTATCTCCATTTAAATCAAAACTTTCTGGGGGAATTCAGTCTGGACAACTTTGATCCTCAGTTTACTAATGAAACTGTCCAGCTCACTCCAGATGATAATGACATTGTAAGGAACACTGACCTGCATGAATTGGTAAGTTCTGAGTATGTCAATCATCTTTTGGTGTATGAAGAGGAGGGTGTCTGATCCTTATTTTTCAACTGTTCTTTCTGCTTATCTTGCCATTTAATGAATAAAAAATTTGCTACCAGCCTGAATGGAATGAACCATTTCATAATTTTCCAGAAGCTAATTTTAATTTCCTCTTTGAAGTTATATTTAGATGTAACACTTGATTCTTACAGTCTATAATAAGGGATATTGGGGTTTTTGTAGACAAAGTTGCTGTTTGTGATTTGACTTCAATAATGAAGAAGTACTCACTTGTTAACTAAACATACTCTTTCCTTTATTAAGTGGAGACAGAATGTGTAATATTTTTTCTTGTTATTTACTCTGCAGGAAAATAATCTGCATTCTAAGTAGACAGTCTTAACTATGCTTGTTTCTCAACAAACCACATTACCTATACTTTTAGGCCCCAGTTTATGTAGTCTTTAGGGAAATCCATAAAATAGTAACAATTTTGAATAAATCTACAGAAAACACATGTATTGTTGTTCTATCTCCTTAATTAAATTTTTATTTAGTAAGGTAACACATGAAATAGTAGAATTCATTTTATGGGCAGAATTCTTCAGACCATTTTTATTAAAATTAGTGGCTAGGATCAACTGGGATGAAGGAGGGGAGAGAAAAAAGAAGGAAGAGGGAAAAATGTGCATACATATACCCAGGGTTAACTAAGATAACTGCACTACTAATATCTGTTGGTTTATTGAAAGGAACTGTTAATGTGTAATTGTTTGATCAATCTTGCATTCCTGTATCTGGTTATATGTGCAACCATTTTGAAGATGACATTATGTAATATAACAACCATTGTTAATATCCTATCACCATGTTTTGAAATTCTGTATCATTTTTATTGTTCTCTATGCTATTTTGTTTATGCATTTGTTTTTGTTATTTTGATTTTTTTTAAATGAGAAACAAAATTTATATGTACATATAAGGAGAGCTGGGATAGGTGTATTGCTGATGTCTGTGGTTTATTGAGAGGAACAGTCAATGCTTAAAATTTTCTTTTTTCTTCACCAATTTTGCACGCTTGAATTTGGCAATTAGAATGACTGATCTGAAAACAATATGCAGTATAAGAACCATTGTTGAACTCCTACTATCTTGTATGGTGAAGCTCTGCACCATTTCCAGTTTTTTTTTTTACTTGTTACTGTCTTTTTTTTTTCCCGTACCAGGGATCGAACTCACGACCTTGCGCTTGCTGGGCAGGCACTGTGCCGCTGAGCTAAATCCCCAGCCCCTCTTGTTACTGTCTTTGATTGTTTGATCAAGCTTACATTCTTATGTCTGGTGGTCTGAGCAACTTTGTTGAAGATAACAGTATGTAATATAGCAACCACTGCTAATTCCTATCATTTTGTTTTGAGATCATGTATTGTTTTTGTTGTTTTTGTGTTGTTTTAATTTTGTCTTCATTGTTGTTTTGTCAGTTTTTTAATTTTTAAAATAAAATAAAATAAAATTAGTGGCTAGCAATTTATTTAAATAATTGCCAGATACAGCATTCTTCTGTTTATTTTAGCACCATTTTTATACAAAAGACTTGAAAAATAACCATGATCATTTAAATACAGTATGGTACAATGGTACAATCTTCTCTTTAGAGAAGCTACCCAGTTTTAAATTTAGAACAACTTAAAATTTGTAGGCATTTAATAAGTTACCTTTTTAGCTTTTTTTGATGCCCCATTTCATTAGAAATATAACTTTTCCAAAGCTTGTAGTTATATATTGTCTTTTCTTCAAATAACTAAGCTTTGGTCATCTTAATGTAATATGTATTTGTCTGCCTTCTTTTTTATGTTAAAAACCCCCCAAAAAATTTAATACACATCAAAAAAGAAAATAAATACTAATACCTTTGAAAATTTCACCATTTATGTGTTTACAAGCACCAGGACATAATTTCATTAATTGAAACTGAGTTTCCTATTATTGTCTTTTTTCCTTTCTTAGTTGTAAGATTTTTGTAATTTTTTTCTGCTTTCTCATTCTTTTCTATTTCTAAATAATCTCACATAAGTTGTCTAAAACAACTAATTTTACTCCCTAAAATATACTTTTTGCATAATATATTCTTAGCCACTATTATTACTACAAAAATAAATAATTTGCATTTCAAATTATTTGATTATTTCAGCGTTGTTTTGTTATTCACAGACCACAGTTAACTATATTTACATATATATACAGTGTATGTTTGTATATCTATCATGTGGGTGCACAGATCATGTGTGAATGAGTGCATGTAAGAAACTACTGAACCGCTCAGCAATTTCTACTGCAGTGACGCATACCCCTGGTTTATGTCCAGTTCCCAACATCAAGATCAAGGTAACTGCGGGCCCTCCAAAGTCCCTCCCAGCTGGACAGTGCTCCTACCACAGAGCTGCTCACCGGACAGGGCATACATTACCAGAAGCAGCATGATTTCCTTCCTGCGAACTGACCACACCCTCAGAGTCCAGTCCCGGGCAGCAGAGAGCAGCCACCTCCCGTCATGGCTCCAGCAGATGGAGCTCACAGCTCCGTCATGACCTAACAAGGAAGAGGAGAGAGGACCAAGAGTGCTACCTGTCTGCACTTTGTCAAGAAACACCTACACTGCCTTTCTTCAAGAAGGAAATAACACACATGGTGGCATTTCCTAGTTGTTTCCTAGCTACGGTGACACCAACAGAGCCACTGCCCCAAGATGACACTTTACTTAGAGGTTCAATCAACACAGCTTCTCAAGGAGGTGTTTCTGAAACCTCATATTTCTTAAAATATGAGGTTCAAGATCATGTGTGTATCTGTATGTGCTTTTAAAAAGGAACGTTATAAAATACAATGTCAGAAAACAGTACAGAGGACTTCTAGGTAATTTATCTATCTTTTAAAGAACTACTTTTACTGTAATGGAGGAAGTCCAAAAGTTCCCCTGAGCATTCTCACACATAGACTACCGTCTGTAACATGGCTGTTTCGGGGGTTGGTTTCCCAGGCACCCACTCTGGTTGTGTGTTGTGACACTGGGGTGCTGGGGCCCAAGGAGCCCAGCAACTTCCACTTGCCTTTTCAGCTTTTCTGTCTAGCATCCCTCCTTCCATCTGCACCCATCCTGTTTGGGGATGGGAACACGTGGTCTTGGGTGCAACTCTGTCCTGTACTCAGAGCCTCTCAACAGGGCCGTGAGACAAGCGAGGCCAGCCTGCTTCAGTGTCCTCAGATGCCACCACCTGAGTTCCCTGAGGAGCAGGAGAGGCAGGAGCAGAAGGCAGAGATGGTGTTTTAGTGATCCACCCAGGGCCAGTGTATCGGAGGGACAGTGGCAGGGATAAGGAGGTGTGCGAAAAAGACACATAGCATAGATCACATCCAGATGGCTGATGACCCTAGACTTGCTACATTACCCCACCTTTGCCAGGACTTAGGCATTGAGTGATGATGCATAGAAGCTTGCCACTGCCAGGCCCTCTGCCTGAGTCACACGCGATAATTTAAAGATCAGACTATGTATATATCACCCTATCACATCGGCCAGGAGATCACCAAAATACAAGTGGACAAACCCAAGAAGATTTAAAAATAAGTCTGTAACTGGAAAAAAAAAAAGGGGACTAAAATCCACTGAGCAAAATAGTATTATCTTCTGTGACTTTGCTGCCCCCTGGTGCATGGCAGTGGCCTCTTTAACAAGGAGCAGGCCCAGGGAAGAAAGCTCAAGGTCGCCACCTGGGCTTCTCGGCTAGCAGTGAGGAGCCAGCATCCACAACAGCCTCGCTGAGCATCACCCACGTTTCCTCACCTTCCTATTCTCTGCCTGACCTCGGGGCAGCTCCGTGGCCAGCCACGGGGCTCATGGACATCCCACACCACATCGCAATTCTTTCGCCTCTCTCCAGGAAGACACCTGCAGTCACTTCCCAGCTTTGCCCTACCAAGCAGTGACTCTTGGGCTTGAACAATCTCTTCTTGATCATCTGCCGTCACAGCACCTGCAGCCCACCTGAGCAGGTACAAGCCTGAGCAATGTAGAAACTGAGCAGGTGCCCTCTGCCTGCCCCGGCACCACAAGGTGGGGGCCTGTCTTTCCTTAACCACATGCAGAGGGTCAAGGACTGACCTCCACTCCCAGCACAACAAAGCTACCTATGGACCCACTGGAAGGGGCCGCCCCTTTTCGCACAAGCCCAGGACCCTCAGATGGCATGGCTCAGCCCCATGGTGTACCACAGGCATGAGCTGGGGCGCGCTCCACATCCAACTGAATGGGTCGCCTATATGGGACCACACCAGGCCCCTTCTCCTCCTCTCTTCTCAGATTTTTTATTGTCATCAAATGTGTTGTCCGAAGGTGTATCTTCTTGCCAGAACAAAACAGAAAGGCCTTCTGCTCCTGCTGTGACGACCACTTCTCCGCAGTGTGTGTGAGGCCTCGATAAACTTCAGGTAGAGGACAAAGAGGACCAAGAAACTTGGACAAGGGGCACTGAGATAACCAGTGAAGTACATGGGACAGACAGAACATGGAATAGAGCTCCAGTGTGCACACCACACACAGAGAGGGGCTAAGGTTCAGACAGGAGGGACCTGAGAACAGAAAGCAGGGTGCTCTGGCTTAATGTCACCCTTTATGAAGATTACTTGTTATCCTACTCCACAGTCTGTAGTGACATCTTAGTTGGGTTTCAACTTCCAAAATGCCTGACCTGGAACAGGTACAGCATCCCACATCTCTGCCAGAGAGCCTTAGAGCTCTCCATGACACCTGTCCTGAACCAATTCCTGGGGAGGGGCCTGTCTCTGCTAGACCAGGAGAGGGTCCGCAGCCCCAAGGAAAAACAACAGATTGAACTAGAACTGCTGGCCCCAAGACAGCCCAGAGCTACTGTAAACTGCAAAAATAGAATGGGGTTTCACTCTGAAAGTGATTCTTTCCACATGGTAGGCTAGTCTTGGAGAAGAAATCCAGTGCAAAGCCCACCATATTTGAAAGTGTTCAACTAGGAGACATTTTGAGGAAGGGTTGATTTTTTGGAGCTATAGATGGAGCTATTCTGGGAATCAGAAACCACAGAATAACTGCATTTTAGGGTTTCCAGGGTCACCCTAATGACTGGGTGGGAAATGGCCACAAGAGACAGTCATGGAGAAGGGGGAAGGCTAGTTACAGATGCCCTGAGTTTAAGCTCAGCTCAGAAAGGATGAGGGGATCCCCCGCCTACGGCAGAGAGAAGACAGGCTGATTGCATGTGGTTTTTGGAGTGGGCTGGGTCCGAAAGTGCTGGTATTGAATCCAGCAAACTGCTTGACCTCCCTGCCCCACTGGTCTGTCTGCTTTCCTCATCTCCCAACACAATCAGAGGTACTTCTTAGCTAGCACTACTGCCACATACCAGCCTATAAATTATGCTTAAATAAATACAGAAGAGTGAAAACTACCCTATGCATATTATCAGATCACAGTGCAATAAAACTACAAATCAATAGAAAAAGAAACCATAAAAACTATACAAACACAGAGAGATTAAACAATATACATCTGCATAACCAGTGGTCTCTGAAGAAATCAAGTAAGTTCCTAGACTCAAACACTTAGGCCAATACGATATCTCAGGACCTGAGACATACTGAAAGCAGTACTTCCATGGAAGTTTATCCCTGTGAGTGCCCATGTGAGAAAAACAAGGAGAGCCTAACTAAATAATTTAATAATATACCTCAAAGTCCTAGAAACTCAAGAACAAAACAAAAATCCAAAGCTAGTACAAGGGAAGAACTTAGAAAGATCAGAGCAGAAATGAATGAAAACACAATTCCCAGCCTCTGGGTGCTGGCTATGAAGGTGGCTGTGATTTTCTCTCCAAAGTGCATATGCTCTGCTTAGTGCCAGGGCTCGGTGCTGTGGGAATTAGCAGCACATACCGTTCTGTGTTCCCCCACCCAGGCCTCTGTTCTGTGCTGTGGTTTGGGAAGAAGACATAGTACACTGAGCTGCGACAGCCAGAATCCCTGAGGCCACCCTTAAACTCACCTTCCTTAGGAGCAAGACACATTTTACCTGAAAAAGCAGCAGGTGTTCCACTAAGACTGGCATCCAAAACCAAGGAGAGATGGTTGGCTAAACCACAGGCTAACCACTGTCCATTTCCTGTTTAAAAACAAAAAAACTCTTATAGAATCCTAACCAGTGAGAGCCCCACTGTTAGGTAGCTTCATGTTCATTTTCTCAGGTAGGGAGGGATCTGAAACAGCCGCCAGCAAGGCTCACCAGCTCTCTCAAATATCCACCACCCTACACGGAGGGGCTGCCAGGCTCCAAGACCCATGTCACCCCTCGGAAGGACCTCACTTCCTCAGAACCACATGAGGCAGCCACCACCATTATTGCTGCTACCCTCTGTTTATAGAACTGAAACCAGAGTCCAAGTTGAGCCTCAGGCTGCAGGTCTGGCGCACAGCTGGAGCTGGGCTAGAGCACCCTCCACCCAGTATCCCCCCTACTCTGTGGCACATCCTGTTGCATACCAAAAGACTGATTAGGGGACTTATTCAGCCTTGCAGCTGTTTCCCTAAAACAGGACAGAAATAAAACTTAGATTTCCTCTGTATACTCAGACTTGTGGATCTATACCAATGTCCTAACCTATGAAAGGAAACAGAAGGCAAAGGCACAACACAGCTGTCAGCACACCTGACTTTTGCAAAGAGTTTACAGTGGAACTACCTAGACCAGTGACAGCAAACCTTTTAGAGCTTTCAATTATAACAGCTGGCTGCAGCATGTGTGCCATAGGGTCATCACCACTAACCCAAACGAAGCTGCGTCTAACCCACATGAAGCTGCACTAACCCTCACAAGCTGCCTCCTAACTGCTTTCAAACACTAATAAGGAACAGACCAGCTATGAGGGAAATCAAGAAATAGCCCCTGAGGGACACAGCCTAGCTGAGGGTCTGTGAGAAGAAGATTCAATTCACAGGCCAGCATGCGGCATCTTTGTGAGCCAGAGGCACGTCTCTAAGGGATCATGACAACTGTCTGCTAACTCCGGTCCTGGAAGAATGTGTGTGTGTGCAGAGGCTGTGCAGAGGAGAGCAGGGAGTGTGTCCTGGGTATCGATGCTGGAGCAGAGTTCTGCACCTATCCTGGTGGCACCAAGTGCAGACAGCTTCGCTCTGCTCTGGACTATACTTTGACCATGCAACTTCAACATCCAAGTTGAAAACATGTTCATGATAGAACAGTGGACAGAGGGAGACAGGGGCTTCCCCCTAGAATTCACCTACCTGAGAACTGGATGCAGCTCACGGCAGCTGGCTCTTGGGCCATGGCCACCTGCTTGCTCAGTCTGCTTGGTAGAGAATTCTCCAAAGGATATTCCTCACTTAAAAAGTCAGAAAATAAAAACCAAGAGAGATTTCAAGTGAGGACAGAAATAAAAATAAATGGGGGGTGGGGATTTAGCTCAGCGGCAAAGCGCCTGCCTGGCAAGCGCAAGGTCGTGAGTTCGGTACCCGGTACCAGAGAAAAACCAAAAAAAAAGAAATAAAAATAAAAGAAATAAAGTGGATTTGCCCCTGCATATATGTATAGTTTTATTCCATTAATCCTTAAAATATGAACTCTTATATTCAAACTCATGCAACAACTCTTTGCAATAGACTAGCATTCCATATTGCCCCAAAAGGTATACAACCATGCATGACATGAGAGTGAGGTTATGTTCTAAGAAATGCATTATTAGACAATTTCTGACACTGTGAATGTCATGGACCATGCTTACCCACACCTACAGGCAGAGCTGACTACCCACCCAGACCAATGATAGGAGCATAGTGATGGGACAGCCACTGCCCCCAGGCCCATGATGAACAAAACAAAATGAGATTAGATCATATCCAATGAAGAGATGCAGTAAACACAGGCTACTACCAGCACAAATGACAATTCCTTTACAATAAACTGCTTTACATAAGTAGAACACTCTAAAATAACAAGTCCAAGTGAATATATAAACCAGTAGCAGTGTGTGTCATCATTATCAAATACGATGCATGTTCATAATCATAAATGTTTATAATCATGTTCATAATGCTGTACTTGCATGTGTCTGGCAGTGCAGTGGAGGTAGCATCTCACCCCATTTACAATGTCTATCTTCAAAAAAGCAAAAAATAACAAATGCTGCCAAGGATGTAGAGAAAAGGAACTTCCATGCACTCTTCATGGAAAACTTAGTATAGCCACTATGGAGACCAGTATGGAAGTTCCTCAAAAATTAAACATAGATCTAGCATATTATACAACTAAGCCCCTTCTGGACAGATATCCAAAGAAAATGGTATCTGTGTGCTTATGCACTATTCAGATAGTTAAATGAATCAGCATACATACCCATCAACAAAGAATAGGTAAAGAAAATAAGGTATATAAACACAGTGGCATACTAGTCATCTATAAAGAAGAATCAAAATCATTTGCAGCAAAATGAATGGAACTGAATGACATTGTGTTAAGTTAAATATGCCAGACACAGAAATCCAAATACTGGTTGTTCTCTCCCACATGTAGAAGATTAAAAAATAAGCTGACATGGAATAGTGATTGCTACAAATTGGGAGGTGGGTGAGAAGAACAGATAAAGAAAGGATAAATTGGGATCAGTGGAAATAGTATGCACATATTGAAATATCACACTGAACCTCATTAGTATGTAAAATTAATACATGTTAATTAAAAAATCAGTATTTCATTAAGTGTTTCTGTTAGGTATTAACTATCCAATTGTAGATAAAATGCACATAAAAATGAACATTAAAATCAGTACCCCAAATCCTTCTCCACGACATAATCTTAAACTCAAGCACGAGACAGAGCCCAAGACGGCCCCAAGCTCTCTTGTTCAGACACATGGGCCAGCATCTGAAGAAGCATCTATTCACACAGAGTCAGGGCCAGTCCCTGCTGGTCACAAGGCAGACCTTCCAAAGTTACTTCAAACCCACACACTAGATTACATACCGTTTAGAACTGTTCTTGCATTTTAAAGATCTTCTACCATCATTCTTGATGTTAGTCTTTGGTGAAAACATAGTTAAACTGTGGAAAGAAAACCTTTATATCACTTTCAAAGACTAAGCTTCTAAATTCCTAAGAAAGCTATAGGCTAAGCACAGTGGTGCATGCTTGTAATCCCAGCTACACAGGAGGCAGAGACAGAGGAAACACAAGTTCAAGGCCAGTTTGAGACTGTCTCAAAATTAGAAAACAAAAAAAAAATCAAAAGAGCTGAGTCGTACCTTCGTGGTGAAGCACTTGTTTAGCATTGACTGGGTTCGATCCCCATCTCCATCCTTCCCTCCACCCTCCTCTCCATCTCTCTATCCCTCAATCCGTATTTCCATCCCTCCCAACCAGAGTCAGCCTAGACAGCCTACACAAGGAGTCAAAGTCCAGGGACCCCAGGAGGGCTTCAAGGGAACAGAGCAGCTTTGGCCACTATGTCAAGGCCACAAAAAGGTCTAGGACTTAGAATAGGAACAGGACGGTGTAGCTCCATTTTAAAAGAAAGGATCTCCCTTTGAGAAATCCAAGCCCCGTGAAAGACTAGGAAATTCCAGGACCTTGCTGTAGCTGCCCTAACTACCATGTTGTTTCATGTTTCCTTGACTGTGAACAACTTCCCACAATCAGACTTGCTGCCTGTAGTTCTGAGTATCCAAATTTTAACTCTCCAATGTTAAAGCAAAGCTGTGTTCCAAGAAAGTTCTTGTGATTTAGGCCTTAGGGGCCTAAACCATTTGAAACCATCATTGCTCTCTCCATCAGCTTCTTACCCACCAGAACCTGCCTTATCATCTGGCAAAAACTCAGTCACTGAACAGAGGCCAGTACATACTGTAGTGACCATTCAATGAACGCTGCACTTGCGACCACTGCAGTGACTTGGCATTCCGCGGTCTAACCCTCCACATTATGACTCCTGTTGGTACCTCTGTCTCCCCTTTCTGCAGTGTGACTCTTGAGGACACATTTACAGCTGCATCTACAATACCCTTGAAGCTCTGCTTTGCTATTTACATGAACAACGCGAAAGCCCGTACTCACTGTGGTGCCAGTGCATATCCAGATGACCTGACTTTAGTGTGGAAAACCACAGGTCTGTCCTCTGTGACTCTCTGCACAACTGCTGAAACAATTTCAAAGTGGCAGAAAATACTGAACATTACAATTTCACTATAAGCACAAGAGGAAGCTAGCCTTTTAAAAGCAGAAAACTTCACACAAAAATGAGTTTCTGACCTATGACATTAAAAGGTTCCATACCACAGAGTTAAACCAGTCCATGCCAGCCAAAGAAGATGAAATAAAGGAAATCAAAAGTACAAAACAGAAAATCCCACACAATTTTCTCTCACTCTTTAAATTTCCCTACACTGAACATGCTTACACATTTCCAGTGCTCCACGGGCACCACACTGGCCACAGGGAAACTGCTA